TCAGCTAGGGGAAATGCACATCGAGTTGTTGCGAATCTATTGCTCTTCTGCGCGACCGGTGGGGACCCAGTTCGCGTCTGGGACCGATCGCCGGACGTTCTTGAACATCTTCCATAGTGGCGTCCCAGACTTTAGGAGAATGTTGAGTCAGCGGTGCGGCACGAACGGCCCTCAGAACCTTCTCTCGAAAGATCTTCTATCCACAGCTCGCCGCCTTGAAAACTGACCTTCAAAACGATGTTCGGGATCTTCTCATGGCCGAAATCGCGGTGTACCTTCGCCTCTTGAGCATAGAGGACCACCAGCGAAGTGAATGATCGACCCGCGGAGCTTGTTCACGAACGAAGCTGTTGAGCACCATTCTCGACCATGGCCACTCATGACACACCGATCTAAATCGGGTGATCCCTCCACCCACGAAGAATGCGCCACCCCGCTGATCGGCAGCCTTACGCTGACCATGAGCAGGGAGCTGGTGGATCAAACGTGGATTTCGTCTCGAGATAGAGTGCCCGGCCGGGCCAGCATAGTCTGAGCGAGCGCCTCGGCAGAGACAGGATCAGATTCGCCCGGCAGTGCTCAGTGGTTGCGGATCATGACATGAGGCTCGCTGCAGACCGTGCGCAGGTGCTTGAACGAGCAGCTATTGCAGGACATGCAGCCGAGCGACGAGTTGAAGTAGTGGCATTGGCCAGCGCCTTAAACCTTCTTGGCTGCGATCGCGATCAAGATTCCACTCCTTCTCCAGGATCCGGTTGTCACGTTTGAGCTTCTTGGTCGGACCCTCCTTGGTCCTTGGCGAGCTTCTTCCTGTTATCCTTGTTCGTCGGATTTTGGGTTTCTTTTTCTTCGCTTGCACGGGTTGCGCGGCAGGGGAGGCACAGCATCATCGTGAACCTGATCAGGATCTGCCACATGAGGCTGCCGGGAGATCTGAATCCTCGACAGGGTTGCCGTGGCCCAAGCGTCATTCCACGGGTACAAGTACTTGTGGTTGGTCAGGACTGGACGAGCACCTGCAAGAACTATGTGTATGCCGCGCGCTGCTCCGATAATGCGGATGGCACGATCGGCAGCCATGAGAAACGGAATGCCCGGACATTCCGAGCGGAAGTGCTCGAGCTCCTGCAATTATACTTCAAAGGACGTTCAGTCCTGGAGAATGCACAGATGTTCAGATACTCCAGAGCCATGAAGAATGCGTGGAGCCGGTTGAGGAGCGTATTGACATCCGTCACCGCCTCAGGCTGATCAGCCTTCGAGATCGAAAGCAGATCGTCTGCGTTACGAGAGTGTTGATGGTAGGCCAGATGCTCCATGCTAGTGCTCATGATGGTCGAGGCTATGCCATCTTAGAAGTGGGGCTGTAATTTATGTCGCGAACATATTTGTATCGCTTACTTCTTCTTTCGCATGCACAGCACACATAGGCATACTCACGTGTTGCGAGCAGCGAGTGCTCTCCGGCAATCTGCGCACGCAAGGCAATACTCATGTATGCTTGTAAAGCCAAGCATGTCTCGGAAGCTTTTACACGGCGAACGTGAATGGCTCAAGTGCACGAAACAACGTGATGCCGCCTGGGAGGATCGGGGCTTTTTTCGGCTTGGGGTAGGTTCTTTCGGGTGTCTTGTACATAGCTCGGGGATGAACGCCGATGACGACGGAGCTTTCACTCCAATACGAAAAACAATCATCCCTGAACGCTTTACTTAGCCCAGTCACAGACAGCGGTTCCCCAGAAAGGCCGAGCATCGCTTATCAACAGCACTTGCAACAACAGCAGCAGCAGCATCAGCAGCAGCAGCAGCAACAGCTTCAGCTACCAGCTACAGCAGTTGCAGCAGCTTTCCCTTCTCATAACCAACAGGTTATGAGCCCAAGGGCTCCGCGCAGCAACTTCGCAGCAGCAGAACCATCATCACCTTTGCAAAAGGCTAACTTCATGCAAGCAATGCTGCTGGAGATCCCGACGTCAGGTCTTCAGCAGTTTGCACAGGCACAGCTTCATTGGATGCTTCATTGCAAAACGATTTGAGAGCCACAGTTGTCGAGCTGAATGATCTCTTACACCACATGTCCAATATTCTGGGTGGTGCTTGTGCGACGCTGCATTCCGGATACTGTCATGCTGGAGAACCTGAATACGATTCAGCAGGGAATGGGTGCACACAACCGGGTGCTAGCAAATCTTTTGCAGTAGAAGCAATGATTGAAACATCAGCTTAAGGAGACGCGAGACTGCTTGGAACGTGGAGACTGCTTGGAACGTGTTCAGGTAGAGGCATCCCAGGCTAAGTTAGGACCTGTCCAGTGCAAAGCACAGATCGAAGCCCACATCGTGCAGATCCAGGGTGAGCTGAGTGGCCGCTCGGATAATGTGAGGGCCTTATCACAAAGTACAGCAAGCCGTCTTGAGCCGCTGGTAGAGGCAGTTCAAGGGGGCCTCATCACAAAAAGTCTTGCATCAATCACAGAAGGCGTTAGGGATCAGGTGGTCGCGGCAAGAAGCACTCACTGGTGACATCACGGGCGTGAAGCAGGAACTTCAGGCCGTTGCAGAACAGCAGGCCAGCCTACATGAGGAAGTCACGCAATTGCAAACCAAGCGCGAGCAGTGCTGGAAGAGCAGGGTCTTCGAGTCTTCCAGAGAATAGTGCCGAGGTCAATGCATATGAACAAGAGTGGCGGGGTTTACCTGTTAGTTCTGATCTTGACCATACAGGCGCAGCTGGGATGTAGCAGCCACAGCAGTTCCTGAGTGCAGCAGCAGCGGAGTGATTCCAGAAGCAGCCGCACAAACATCAGCTATCCCGACCGCTGCAGGAGAACCTCAATCATCATCAGGCACCAATTGTTATGGAGGGTTTCCGGGTTCTGTTGGAGGTTTGCAAGACTATATAACGGTCCTACTCTGCCACCGCCGCATCTTAGCGCTGGGGACGGCGCAGCAACCGCAGCAAGGACAACTGACTCGGCTGAAGGGAGCATTCACCATGGAAGGTGGAAGCTTTTGTAGGAAGTGTCAGCATTGAAGTTGGGATCAGGAGAACCCTGGGAGTTGGGGATGCGGCTACGTACTTGGACAACGCAGGTAGAGGCTGTCGCGGGTGCCATTGCACCTTCTTGCAGCGATTACGTCAAGTCTCAACTTCAGTTGGCAGAGCATCGGCGTCAGAATAGAATGGCACGCCTTGCAGATTATAGAGATTCTCATCCTCTTCCGCAGGTACGGTTGGAGGATACCGAGAAAGAGAATCGCTTGGTATGTGGTTACCTGTAGGGCGAAGGCAGCGTGTCATGGAGAAGATCAGGGCAGCTGACTTTCTTTGGGGGGTACAAGAAAGCTTGCAACCGGGTGGCGCAGCCGAGATGCAGAGCCTGCACTCCTTCATCCGCAGCTGGCAACCAATTCAGAATGCTAGAGACGGCTTGAGCATCCTTCGGGGCGTTGGAAGTTGGCCCGTTCGCGAGCTGAAACCCTGAACCTACCCCAGATAGCACCCTCTACACGAAGAACTCCAGGCATTGAACACCCTGATCAACGTCTTCGGGAAGAGGCATGATCGGTTCCGAACTCGGTTGTCATTGTCACTGACGAGGCCTGAGATCATCCGGCCCACGCGCTCAGGAGTGGAAACCACCATCGCGTTGAATGACCAGCAACTTCAGCGTGCTAGTGCAGATGAACAAACCCGAACAAACAGCCATGTGGAAACGGATCCTCGTGCGGCTAAGGGCAAGGGAAAGGGTGTTGGCAAAACGAATGCCGCTGCTGATAGGCCTTGCGTTTTCCTTCAGAAGTTTGGGAAGTGTGAGTTTGGGGATACGCTCACGAGCGGTTCAAACCTTGTTTCGCTGTGTTCGCACATGCTGACCACACAGTTCTCGTAGCAAGTAATTGAAGCCATGTCGTCACAGAAGGAGCAGCTCGATAAGATGTCTGAGCTCCTTTCACAGGTGGCTAGCCAGCTTGCACAGGTGAAACTGCAAGGTGACAGGCAGGAAGAGTAGCAGAAAGAGCAGCAGAAACAGCTCAACTCGAAAGTGGGTCTGATGGAGGAGAAGCTGAACTCTCCATACACCTCGTCCTCTTCTTCGCTGGTGTCAATCCCCACCGTCCTGCAGCGGTCGTCCTTCACAGCGCCCCTTGCGCGAGGAATAGATCTAAACGCATCGGCCACGACAGATGGCCATGCAGCACAAAGTTGCACCGGGCCTGGGTGCGGTCTCTTCGTCACTGGCCTCCTCACAGGCTACGCTTGGCTGTGGGACAGCCCGGAACCAAAACCGAACTCTCGGCCACCTCCATCCTCACAGTCCCCTCCCTCACAGGGGGGATGTCGCCGATCGTGCCTTCCCTTGGTGCAACCACACAATCGGCACCAAGGAGAAGCAAGAGGAGGCCAAGGCAGCGGGCGACACGGAAGCCCCACAGGAGAAATACCCACAGGAGTAGAAAAAACTCCCGTCAAGTCAAGCTCTCGCCGAGGGTGACCCAATTCGACACAAGGCTCGCCTCGCCGTTTCAGGGTCTTATGAATGCCTATCGGGGCGCCTTCCCGAAGTACAACAGGGAGGCGTTGCTCCCTCGCTGGAAAACGCTGGCCGTCGTTGACAGCAAAGAAGCCTGGCTCGGCAGGATTGTGTACAAGCGAGCCGCCTTCTCACAGACCACCACTGCCGGGACCTTCACAGACTGGGTTTGTGAAATTGACATCCCCATCGAGCATGCTCAAGCATGGCAGCACGTCGAATGATCTACACTCCCCACGCCGACGATCGAAAACTTTGGCCAATCTGCTTATCGCCAAAATATGCCAAAATGGCCACGGAAATCATTGATGACGGCGGTTCCTCCGATCGTGCAGACTGACCCTCTTATTCTTCACCCACCAGACCGTTAATTAGGAGACTATGCTTACAGAAATTGCGGCTGTGGGTCCTGCGTGTCATGCATACATACATATATGCATGCATACATACTTACGTACATACATACATACATAGGTACTCACACACAAACATGGGCGGAGGCCAGTAATGTGACAGTGCCTTCGAAAATCATGACTGGCCTCCACCGAATGCATGCTACTTCATAGTTTAAGCTCCAGGCCAGGGCATGTAGCCCAAACCTCCATTTTCTGGCCACTTCACCTCGTTGGCTTGGGACGCGGCGCAGTGAAGTGAGAGGTCTCTGCTCTCGGCCTTGCGGGCCTTGCGGGCCTTCGCCTTTGCGGCCCTTCACACAACCTACAGTACACTTGCCTCGCCTGGTACACGCGGCCGTCTGACAGCACCCGTCGATCAATGGTCGTCGCTCGGGAGCTTCCCTTGCAGAAAACAAGCCGAGAGGGTCTCTGACTTGTGAAAGACTGCTAAGAGGAAATCTGATCATGTGACTGTCCGGCCTACTACATTGCGACTACAGTCTCCATAAATAGGAAACAGAGATGGCCGTGCTCAGGGCCCAGGAAAAGTGGAGGAGATTGAGGGATGGGAAGGGGCAGTCTGACTTCTTCTTGGATTCCGGGCTGTCCTGCCCTTTCAGGAGATGGAGGTTGGAACTACACTGCTTGTACGGTTCAAACTGCAGGCATACATGCATGAAGGTCTGTCCGTCTACACTTGCACACTGCACAACACGCCACGATATAGATATACGTCTGTATACACTGACATATGCATGCATACCTAGGAGGCGAGCAAGCTCGATTTGAGTTCTGCTGTTGCTGTTGCACTTATTGCTGCAGAAGTTGCTGCTGTTGTTGTCGCTGTTACGGTATCAATGTCGTTGTCACTGTAGGTTTGCAATCGTTGATGCTAACGTCTTTTCTTCGCAGCACGGCTGCATACGGCTACTCTAGTAAGCTCGTTGTTACTCATTATGTTGTCGGGATTGCAACTGGGAGGCAAGCAGCACACTGGAGCTCCAATGCCTTACCCTTATCTATGAAGTTGTCGAGATGTACAACTACGACATGACTTTACAGCGCTTTGCCCGCCGTTGCTTGTTTACATGCTCTGTGCCTTTTTTGTTTCTGATTCTGCTGCTCCTTCTGTATTCATCTCGCCTCTCGCTCTGAACTGGCGCAACTTAGTCTTTTAGGAGGTGTTCTTCGTGTTCACGGTTTTGCGCTCGATTGCGCCTTTGTCTTTTCGTTGCAGATCCCGTTTATGCGCCTCTCGTAGATGGCTGACTTTCATTCACAGGCATTCGTTTGTGGTTGCTTTTTCCATTATCGTCATCTTTTCTTCGTTCACTTGTTACTTCCGTTCGTTCGTCTTCGGTTTGGTTCTTCCTTACCGCCCTGAACGACAAAGCACAATAGGTAGACAAAGGTAAGCAACAGTCAGCAACGATTATGTACACCATGCCAACAAGTGTCTGACAAGCCACGGACGGGCTCAAACAGCACGGCCAGTTCCCAGCATGAATTTCTCTTCACTGGATCTAGGAAAAAGCCCACTTCAAAGTCCCGTAGCCCTGCTGCGCCTGTCCCATGATCACATGCAGGAGCCCATGTGCATTGCACGTGCACTGCAAGCTGAATTCGAGGCTACAACTTCGAATGAGCTGTAGTGTTGTGGTTACCAGCTTCTGCCCGTCATGCGCGTCAATGTCCGGATTGCACGAAGGTAGCACTGTCACATTGCTCCTTGCAAATCCTTGCCGCCGTTTCTGACATGTTCACGGCTTTACGTGTCTCATCAAGCAGCTTTGGGCCATGGGAAGCTGCTCTCGACCCCGACACCCGTGTCGAATAAGTGGAGAGCGACGGTCTCTCAAGATGCCCCAACTTTGAGATGCAGCACTCGAGGACACATGCAAAGAGCAGCTGTATGCGTGTCCTACAAGGACTCTCGGACCCAGCCCCATCTCTCAACGCGCTGCATCGCTCTGCCTTCGACGAGCTTCACAAACGCCGTGGGAGTCGAGGTCCAAAGCCTCGGCAGCATGCTCTCGGCGGAACGGAAGCCATCTCGGAAACTCTAGGAGCTACGTCAAAGAATCTTATAGATAAACCATGGCGTCGCAGCTCTTCGCTGCAGCTCGGCGCCATGTTGTGCCTCGGGTTTGAGTTCCCACCAATAGGAAATGCGAAATTCTATTCAGACATGCCGCTTACCCTTGTTATGGGAACATCGTTCATAGTTGGCGGCGGTCATTAAGTACCTTGCCTCCTGCAGACGTTGGAGCTGAAGAGGGTGACATTGTGTCGCTGCAGGTGAAGTCGCTGTGTTGCAGCTGAGGAGCGTCTCAAGGCATATTGGACACTCGGCTGTCCGATCCTCCAACCATAGTAGAAGGTTTTCCGTAAAGTGCAACTGCGAACTTCACGCCTAAAAAGAGATCCGCCGCAAGTCTGATCCCTGACTGTGTCAGAAATGTCTTGACAAACAGCCCGCAGAAATGCGCAGCTCAGACTATTGGCTGCTGCTGCATCTCTTAAGGCCTCGAGCTGAGAAAGAAACCAGGGATCCTCCAACAACGCTGTTGGCTGCACCCATGGGTCGATGTCCTTGCGGGGGTCAGCAGAGATTTACAAGTGGGCTTGCTGCTATGTGCTAGTTCGCGGCTCTCAACTCGCCTCTTTGCTTAATCTTGATGGTCCATGGCCTGCTCGTTGGTGTGACATGCATCTGTCCTCAACTGATCTCTGCTCTGCGAAATATAGGGGGGGGGTGCCCCTCGCACCCGAGGCCTGGCCCAGCCGCCGCAGGAACGGCTCCAGGAGATCATTGAAACCGGGTTGCTTGTTGTCGGCCTGGAACCAGGTTTGAGATTCATAGCCGGCCGCTCAAACATTGAAATAGCTTGATCAAGCGACAGCATCAATTACACCCTCCATGGGAAGCTCCACTAACTGTCGTTCGAACTCTCGGCGTGTGTTTGGCATGCTTGGCCCGCCGCCTGCTCCTGCACAAAGCTCAAGAGGGGTTGACCGTGCAGCGTGGCAGTGGTGCTCGCACCCACGTGGAGCAAGATTCTGGCAGCAGGGGCTTTGGATCCTACTGGGCAGCCGGCAAGGCTACTTCAGGCTTTGGGACTGGCATGCAAACTGAAGCTCGGCTTGAAGAGTTAGAGACTTTCCGGTTCAGAGTGTGAGGGCGTCTGTGCACACATACTTGTTTGAGGAGAAAACTTCCACAGTGCAAAGAAACCCTACTGACAGTGCCGTGACAAGCCCTGCACAGCTGCACAGGCACAGCCGCTGTGTGATGCCCTATGTCGACGTGATCATCTTCTGCAAGGCGAGAGCCCTGACCCTTGTGGACATACAGTCCACATGTCCGAGTCCTCAGTTGCAGCTATCGGCTATTTTGATTATGACGTCCAGAGGGGAACAGAGGGGAAGCTCGGAATGCCTCGCAGCGTTCAGCCATTGAGGATCTTCCACCTGACCCATCAAAGAAAGGCACCAATGGCGTTGGATGGCTTTGTGCTGGCAAAGAAGTTGCTGGCAGCTTCGAGGCATGACAATCCTGCCTGCTGCAGCATCTGGAACTGTTGACGAAATCAGCACTGCTTAGCTTATCTTATGTCTGCTGGTTGCTTTCTGGTGCCAGATCTTTCTGTTGTCTAATTAGAGGGCTTCTCGACATGGAGCGCTTTCTTGCCCCTTTCCTTTGCCCTTTGCAGGTCGACAGCATGACAACCCAGTCAGCTTCGCGTGGTCCAATCACAGGCATGTTGCGGTGCAGTAGCTGCAAGGATCGAGACTGTGCTGCCACATTTGAGGATCAGGCCGCACGTTCCAGCATCAGGCCCATAGCTGAGTCTTCAGAGGCGTATGGCGGTACCTAAGTTGTCCAGCAGATGGGATGCTTCAGACGTGATGTCAGGCAGCCAAGAGATGCTCGTACCAGTTTCGAGACCACCTCTATGTCGTGGCACCGAAACTCTACAGATGCCTGAATCAGAAAGCCGTAGATTTCTAAAATGTGCATGCAAGTATGTTCCCTCTCGCACCGGCGCTTATACTTTACAGAACTGTATTGAATTGTCTTGTCACGTCTTGCATTGTGTTGTAAATGTCTCGTCATGTCATATAACGACATGTGATGTAATGCATGTGTATGCAGCATGTGTATGCAAATACATATTTTTATATATGTGTACACCCAGGTATGTATACATGATTAGACTGTACCTGTGCATGTAAAGCAGATCGATACATAGAGCCCCGCACATGGACAAGTACGTAATATGTATGTATGCACATGCATACACATGGTCACAGTGTGAATTAGTACGCTCTACATGCATGATATGTGTCTACATAGCAGAGACAGCGAGAGAGAGCGAGAGAGAGAGATAGAGAGTCCAAGCAGAATTCCTGAAAAGTACTCTTTCATCTTTGCCGAGTCAGCCCTCGATCAACCTCGAGACCTGCAACACATCAGCTTTACACAACCGAAAACCTGTACTCTATGCCAACATGCTGAAACCGATCCCGTCGGTACATTCAAGAATTCTACATGCTGTCTGACCTACCTTTAATGATTAAGCCGCTCATTCTGTCAGAAGCACCAGCTACAAACTGTGAACAAAGACATGTTCCGCTAAATCCAGGGCATAACCGCCGAAAACAAAGAGTGCAAAGCAAGCAACCTGCAGATGTGTCGATCATGGCAAAGCAAGGGTCTTGTTTTGTCAAAAAAGCGGAGTCCACAACGGAAACCCCAAAGACTGCGTAGCTCGGCCAGCGACATCCAAGAGCTGACTTCGCGAGCTCTCCGCACCTGAACTGGATAGAACTCTTCAAGGAGCAACAGCTGCCTGCACAAAGCGCTGAACCAGCAGGGCCGATGCTGTAACGGCATCCTACGAGTATTAAGGCAAATGTTGCAGTCACGAGACTTTCTGGGTCTGAACGCTGATGTGCCACTGGCTCGTGGCACATTTTTGTTCGGGAATTCTTCCTCAACCGCAGAGAAGCGAATCAGCTGTGCGAGAGTAAAGTGCACCCGCTTTCATGGTTTCGGTAGCCACAGATTAAGCTTGGGGAGAAAAGTAGTATCGTCTGCTGAAGGAAGAGTTTGGCGTCTTGCATGTGTAGGTAGGCCCCCCGGCCTCGAGCGTTGACAGACAGTCCGATCCTGCGCAATGCGGCTCAACCCAGATCCTGCATTCAGCAACTGTCAAGCGGCAGCAGTCCAAATCGCGAGCTTCTTGGCTAGGTTGGGAAGGTTCTGCTGCAGGCTCACCCGCCTAGCGACAGGATGAGAAACCACGCTTTCCTATGAGATGACTTCGGCTGGGTTCGGCGCCAATTCGGCGTTTCTACCGATTTTCACCCTCCCTCCGTTTCTCTCGTTGTTGAGGTCAAGACACAGCCTAGACTCCGCATTCGTTTTCAAGAGCTCTCGCTTAGAGTTCGAGGAGGAATCCTCCAGACTTGAAAGGTTGACGCACATTCAATGAACTGACATTGTCAAGCTTGTAGACTTTGAACATGCTCTTTGGAGTTCTCCACCCTTGAAGGGACTCCTGTTGAAGCTCCGGACAAGCTGAGGGAAGCACCAAAGGGCCGAACAGGTGGCAGGCGGGAGCAGTACGCGCCGAGTCTTCCTGAAACTGAAGCCAAGAGCACACACAGTGACACAGGCGCAAAAATGCTCTTGCCCGGTGTGACCCCTGACTTTGCCGAGTCATGGATATTGTTTGATTTCTGGATGTCCGTGTTTACTTCAGGATCAGAGGCGCTGCCCAAACACTTTGTCTGGAATCAGTCTGGCATGCCAGCACACCATACATTTCTCAGTGGCGCAATGCACGTTTTGGATGCGAAACGTGTTCCCATCATCGCGTGTTCGGAAAGCACAATGCTTCTGTGGAAGTGCGGCGTCGCTGCATCATGTGCTTCTTGCAATCGTCGTTATTTTCATGCTTGCCATGTGGAAGGTAGTCTAAGTTTAAACATGGCAGCCAGATTATGGACGCATATCGAAGCTTTGTGAGGAGATGTTTGAGCTCATGGGTATTCCACTGCGAGACCCAGCGTCCGCCCTGTCGCCAAACACCTGCGACCTCACACCACGGTCGCAGGTGTCTCTGTCGCCAGTCTAACCCTTCCTCCCAAACCTGCCTTAGTGAACCCATGGATGTCGGCTGAACGCGGGCCTTCTCAGGACTCCCTTTGCCTTGTAGTCACCTCTTTGTCGCTTCTTGGCCTCCTAAGGCACAGTTCCCGGTCGGTAGACTCTCGCTTTTCTAGTCCCTGCCTGGACGGCCCCCTTTTGCTTGTATCTAGTTTTGTAGCTAGCAGTTGGAGGGCTGCCTCTTCTTGCAAAGACCGGTCTAGGCCTAGGGTTAATTCCGTATAATTATTCACATGCCACATGTTTGGGGTAGCCGGTGGTTCAACTAACCACAGTTACCACGGACTCCACACACGTTCTGACATGTTCTGCCCAGTCATGGTACGTATGCAATATGGGTAACATGATGCAACATGGAATCTGAGCAGACGCCAGCTGTCCCGCTCTGGCACAATTCAAGCACCAGGAGCAAGATGTCCGGCGACCTCGGGTTTGCTCAGTAGTCACAGTAGCACAAATCCTCACCTTGGGGGCTTGAAGCGCGTAAGGTTGGCTCACGGTGGCCGAGCGTCTCAAACAAAAGATTTATCAGAGAGCCTTGTGGCAAGGGCCACAAGACATCGGCACACATCACAGCTGCAACCGGCCTGAGTAATTTACGCATTCATCACCCTGTTCCACTGTTCCGCACACTTCAGAACCTTTTTCAGCATTTAGCTGCTAAGCCGCGCACCACTCACTAGGGACTGGCTTGGAAAAGGACGATCTTGACACCTGGCTCTGGAAAGAAAGTTTTCCCAAAAGGTGAGCGTGTAGATTGGCACCCAGTTGGACACGATACACTCGGTGCGAGAGCTTCGGGCTCAATTCAAGATTGAGGCTTCGTCGGCTTTCGTTAGTGATGTCGCAAGATTCCAGCAGTCAGCAACCTCTCTTTAACGATGAGAACTCCAGCTAGAGTCGATCGTCGCATGAGCCTGAAAAGAAATGAAGCAGCAGGCATGCAGCCGAAATTAGGTGCACAAGACGTGCCTCCTTCGGAGGAAGCGGTGGAGGAGAACTCGTACCAGACCTTGACAGAGGATAGACGCTGGATGCTTTTGTGCCTGGGTTTCGAAGACTGGTAACGGCGTTGAACTATCTGAACGGAGCAGCACTTCTCATTCAGTTATCTGGAGCCACACTGGACCACGAACTCGTGTTCTGCCATGATCTTCAGGCCGGGGCATGCCTTGCCAATATGTCACAGCTCCGTTTTGCATGTGCGTGCTTAATAGGTTGAGCCGACCGGAGTGCCCGAGATTGCGACAGCGTGCACGACATTCAATATGATATGTTTGTCGAAGAGCATCTTCGTCTAGACAATAGACAAGGTAACCAGATGTGTAATTCAAAACCTCTCGGAGTCAAGGAAGCTGAACTCGAACTTGGCCCCTCCCTCCCTCCCTCCCTCCCTCCCTCCCTCTCCCTCCCCTTCTGTCTTTTCACCGGTCACCTCTCATTTCCTGAGGATCTGACGCGCCGCGTGACTGCGAGCTGCCTGGTTTGGTTTGGCTTAAGCTTTTCCTACAGTACATGCTGCTCAGGCGTAGCACTGGGCAGGACTTGTGTGTCTCAGTTTGTGCCATCAGGGCATCTTGAAACTTGCGTCGTCGCCACAACGGAAGCGGGCCCCTCGGCGTGTGTGCCCAATCTTGCAAACTCACCATCTTGGATTTCGGTGTCTTCATAGCATGGAACCTCTCGAACCCGAAACGCCCGACTCTCCGCGTTTTGGTTCTCCACCCCACTCCCTGCATGGACCTGCTTGTCATTCAGTGCACTCTCGGAGGCAATAGCGCTTGCACGGTCCCAAAATCACTTTGCAGCCTCCATGTGCCATTGTTGCTGTCAAGAGTTCCGAAAAGGGCGATCGAATGCCGAGCTTGCAACCCTCAAGATTTGCTCGTCTGTTCGTTTGTCTCGTTGGTGTACTTCACGCTGCCTTTCGCATTCGCTGAGCACCGGGCTGTGTTTTTCGTGCAAGGTCAAACCCAGTACATGCACGAGGTAACACCTCGAAACCCTCCTAGCCCCCTCTGAAACCCAAAGCTGTGGAAAAGCTTGTGCGACGGTACTAACGATGAGAGGTATAGCAGCTGCAAACCTCAAGCCCATGGCTGGCCGCGCTTCAGCTACAAGCCCCCCTTCTGCTTCCGTTCACGCGCAATTCAAGACATAGCCCAACGTGCACGGTCAGCAACCCTGGTCTTCCAATCGACCGCAACAGTTTTTGAACGTTTAAGGCTTAAGGTGGATCACCACCCCGTGTCTTTGCGTTCGATTGCACGAAACCTTGACGATGTGATGCCCAAGACTGCCCCAGACAAAGCTGGCATGCACATGCTGGAAGTGCCCGAACCATGAAACGACGTTCGGATAACAGCCACAAGATGTATCACCTAGGAAGAACTTTACCGGCAATGTCCAAGACGAGAAAGAGACACCCAACATGCCAGCCTGCACACCCCTGTGTGCAGCCACAAGAACATTCGGAATGATCAGGAAGCTGCCGTGCAGTCAGCACGCCCCCTGAAAGGGATTTGCATAATTACACTGATATGACACCCGATATGCACCGCATCAAGCGTTGCAGTGCTCTGTGCCTCGTACTCCGAAGTGACTCGAAAGCTGCGATGCAATGTCCTGGCGTGACAGGTTGATATCGGTTGACGACTGAGGATCAGCTTCGTAGCTTTCTTGCACAGTCTGCGATGGGGAATTGGACCTCTCACAGTCCGGTTTTAGGTTGGCGTGACATGATGCTGGTTCCGCTGGGTGCATAGAACCTGCCAGAGCTGGGCCGAATCCAAAGGATCTCCCTTCCCTGAGCCCGCGGCATCAAGCTGTCCAACAGATTTGGCACTCACGATCTTGCAAAGCTGTCCTTTGTCAGGGGGCAGGCTTTGAACCAGCTTCGAGACTGCATCATCCGTCACCATGACTCTACAGTACCTGTGCATCTCCTCTCCGGCTTGCTGTGTCTGGCAGTGAAGGCTCTGGGTCGAAAACAATCATCTACGAAGGAACCACGCTGCTTCAGCGGGTTTAGACAGTCGGGAGCAGTTGTGATCCAGTGCACTGCAAGCGAAAGTTTGCTTTGCGATGCTCAGCTTGCAGACCTCCGTGAGCTTGAAAACTGGCACGTGACGCTGTGAGGCTCCACGGTAGTCGTGTCGATTGTGGAGACTGAGAGCTTGCTGTTCCTCATGATGCGGCGACTGGGTCATGGACCCGATCCTTGTCGCTTCTGCTTTAGAGCTATTCACACCCTCTTGGCGCCCTGTGTCCACGTGGCGCCCCTTCGTTGACCAAGCTCTTGGACATGATGGGTCTGCATGCTTGGAGCTCTTCGTGCATCGTCGGGGTTTTCTGGCAGTGCTCGGGATCGTTGGCACAGTAGTTCTGGATGAGACTGCCACTTCGGCCAAGGGAAATCCGGGCACAGCTCTAGGCATCCTTCTCCGTTGTTCTTCAGGGACGCCTATGCTTCAAGTGTGAGAAACCTCAACATTTCGGCCCCACTTCCGTTCCCGAGGCCTGCAAGTCGCAGCTGGTCTTTGTTGAGGCCCAACATGTTGCTGTCCAGACGCAGAAGCTCCTGCAAACATCGGCGCGCTGTAGGGGATCTGCGAGATTCTTCTAAACAGAAAATGATCCCCACTTCCCCTGAAATCGCTTTCACAACAACCCAGAGCAGTTTGTGGTCTCTGGGCGAATCCACTCCTGGCCGCAGCAGTGCTCGATTGCCGCAGTCAGGGGTGACCGCAGGTCCTGGCAATGAGTTTAAGAGTAGTTTAAGAGCATTTGGAAGTTGAGCAGGATGATCGTCCCCAAAGGATGCTGAAGCGGTGCAAACGCTGCAAGTGATCGCGTGGCGATGATCAGCACGGCCAGAAAACCGTCCGTTTGCAGTGTGGGCATGGGAGGGTGCTGGATTCCGTTCCAGTGATTTTGTGAACGTCTGGGTGTGCCCAATTCGATTCTTCGTACTGTGCTAGTAAAACGAAGATGAATGTGCAACCGGTTGGCCCTCTAGAAAATACCCAAGCAGTCAAACATGGCGGGACATTGACAAAAACTGATGCTTCCTGGCCTGGATTTTGTTCGCCTTCGAAACACGCCTGTTCTGCCATATTGTTGCAGGGCTTCGACTGGGAAAACTGTTGTACATTGATTCACAGCAGAGACACCAGGAACTTGAAGGACTTTTTGGATATCGAAGATTCGAAAGATACAAGAAGCGACTTGCCACGCAATCCGGATGTAAAGTTAAGCTCGGTCAAAATCGAGCATGACGACAAACTAAAGCGATGCCCGAAGCCAACTGCTAGCTGGCAAATGCGGTGTCAACTGACTTCTCTTTTCAAAGGCCGTTGATTCGTCATATTTCCACGCTTCTATGTCGACGCATGAGTGCACTCTTAAAATCTTGCCAGTCAAACTTTCTCGATAACTGCTGCCGGCTAGATCGCGGCCAACGAAAATGAAACGGGAATTTCGGATCGCCGCTAGAGATGTTCTGCTTCAACGCCTTGGATTAAAGCTACATTCTGGTGAGAAGACGACGAAGAGCTCCCTAGGTTGCGGAAGGGGCCCCACCTCTTGAAAGGTCAACCAAAGAATGGCCGCCTTTCGGACTAGGGCTCCGCACAATCGCCTGTGGATGCAACAGGGAAGAAGCCTCACCCTTCTGCTGCTCATCTAAAAGCACTCGCGAGCGTTCGAGAACCTCGCCTTCTTGCTGCTCCACCGTGTGCCCCATAAGCAGAAACTCGCAAGAACACTGCGCTGTTTACACGAGAAGTTCAGTGTGCAATCTGCATAGTCCTCGGTCACAGAACGAAGACTGCAGCATGCCTGCAGGGAACTGCCAGAAATATAAACCGCTAAGCTAAAGCTTGCTTGAAGCACCTCCAGTTTTACTTGCAGGGACCCCTCACCTGAGTGGGTCAACGCGGCACAAAAAAGCAGCTCTGTTTCTCGTACGAATGTCAAATCTGCAGACCACGGGCGAGCAGCACAGGTGTGCTCCAAACAGGCAACTGACTCCAATCACGGCAGTCACAGCAGGAACGCGTAGCTCGCGGATTTGAAGGATGTCCGGACTTGTGATTCAAGGGCTGGCTCGTCGCGCTGAGCAGCGACGGTGACTCAGACGGGTCATGGGATCTCCTAAGTGGGGAATCGCGCAGATAAGGCTTAAGGTGTCGGGTCGAGGCACGTCGGCGGACTCGCATGCTGGCAAACCACCTTCACAAGGGCTTCCTTCCCCGCGGCTATGAATGGGTTTTGGGCGTGCATTTTGACTTCAGCGACTTGTCTCATCTGAGGCTGGACTTCTTACGCAAACCACAGGCAGATTTTCAGCATGGTGGTGAGTCGACTGATGTGCCGGAGACTCTCAAGAAGATTGCAACTCGACAGGTGCCCCTTCGGAAAGCCTCAATGAGGGGTTGCACGCAATTCAGATGGCCGCCCTCCACGGCGAGGCGAAGGGCTGTCCTTGTCAAGTGGAGTTGGTACTTGTTCCGCGCGTCTTTCCGCCTATATAGAGCTGACAGAACGACGTGTGGTGCACTCTGTGACGGGCCTGAAGGGCACTTAAGCTGGCCAAGAGGTCTCTCAAAAACCAGAATGGATTGAACGGAGAGAGTGTCAAACCAACTGGCCATCCCGAACTCAGCAATCCAGACCCTGTTCAGACGTTGGTTGGGGATCTAATCAGATCGAAGGCAACACAGCATGGATCAGCCCCATCCCGTCCCTCTCAAGGTGTCTTGGGGCGAGTTCCGGTCACGGTTGGGGGGGGGGGGGGGGGGGGGGGGGGGTTCGTAGATCATACGCAGCGTTGCGAAAACGACGATGTAACCGCCGGCAAACGTGATTGCTTGCGCTGTAACTGTGGGGGCGTAGGGGCGAATGGGGAAAAGTGGAGCAATTGGAAGACGTGGCAGCCTGAACAGCATCATTGAGAACCACTACCAAGAAAAAATCATCACTGGCGAGGGTCCGTCCCTGACTGTCCACCGAAGCGAAGGCCTCGGACAGCACACCCAACGCGACATCGAACTCATGCCACTCAGGTTTTTTCCGAACTGTTCGAGCATGCGCATATTTGTCGATCTGACACACGACCTAGTCTGTGGTTCTACATGCACTCCGGGCACGCAGGCTACGACTACCTACGACTGGCTTCTACCCTGAACTGCAGTTGGATTCAGGGCCTGCAGACTTCCATCTGAATCGATCCATGTCCCTACAGTGACGGCAAGGACAGTTCTGCACACGATCTCGGAAAGGATCACTGCCGACAACACTGGAATATTCAGCTTCGCCTTATCCTAAGAAGTGATTACCAGCCCGTCGTCGTTGTCGTAGTAGTAGCAGTAGCAGTAGCAGTAGCAGCAGCAGTACGTAATAGGGAGAAGTAACTTCGTAGTAGTTATCGGTTATCGCAGCAGCAGCAGCAGCAGCAGCAGCAGCAGCAGCAGCAGCGGCAGCAGCAGGAGTAGTAGCAGCATCCACAGGAGTAGTAGTCATTGTTGTTGTGAAGTAATGATGGTAGAATTGATCAGCACGAGAGCTCTTCCAAGCCCACACCCCCTCTGCACTAGATTTAACTCGACAGTGTTTTGCAGTCATGTATAGGAACGTATAAGACGATCAATGATCAATGAGGACCAGAAGCCTGAGGAACGCAAGCTGCCGCAGACCAGCCCCTTGAGGGCCTCGGCAAAAGTAGTTCGGACTGTTACACGGACCATGGCTTTGGGGTGTCTCAGGGATGCAGCTGGCAGCTGCACATTTCCGCCGCATCATATTTCTACCATTCCGGGCATGATCCAAGCTGCTTCAGGGCATCCAGGGCATCCCAGGCTTGCTGTGAGTCGACATCCGCACCTGGCCAAAACATGTGGGAACATAGGTTCAGAAGACAAGCGAGCATATGTTTACAAGCACACCAGAAGCTGACACATCCGCAAGCCATCATATGGACAGATTGAGTTTCCCGGATTTGGCCAAGCAGACGGAATCAGGCAATTAGATCTTCATGGAATGCTTCTGTGACTCTACAGCTCTCGGCCATGGCCTGGAGGCTGACGCAGGTGTGAAACGATCCGCTGAACCAGGCTGCGGGCCATCAAAGCCTGACGATTGGCTCACAAATTTGTGGTTCTGGCTGGAGTGTAGTCCGCGTAGCCCATGAGTCAAGTACTCAGCACATGGTCGTGTTCCGGATATGTTCTGGCCGCTGCAAGAAAGCTGGCAGAGGGAGCGCCCTTCTTCGGTGAGGAGAGGACTTCGGAGGTTCGGGGGCCGCTGCCGCACCCGGGCCCGTCCCGGCGCCTGCGCCTCAGCAGAGAAGAGGCGGCCGATGCTCAGCACCGCCGTGGCCATCTGCTTCTGGTGGTCCTCAAACGGGAAGAGAGAACGCGCAGCGCAGAGAACGACGACAGAAAAGGAGAAAGAGAAAAAGAGACGACAACAAACAGAGAAAGGCGTTTCGCCGCGGCAAAGGCGGGTGGATCCGCGAGGTGTGCCTTGGCTGAGAACAGCGGCACGTGGCCCGGCAGAACGGGCACTTGTAGCGGCTCCGAAACGACGAAGGCCTGGGCGACGGGGCGCGAGACAATTCCATTCGGCCGGACGTGAACTGATGTCTTGGTCTGCTATCAGCTGTCGGCGCAGTTCTCTTGGACAAGTGCATGGAGCGCTTGACGTACGGAACAGTGCACAGACGCTTCATGGGCTTGCTCGAACGTCAATACAACTGTTGCCATGCTGGGTCGGTAGATTTGTTGATCGTTGCCTGCATCCCCTGAGCATAGCTGAGGCCCTTACTTACCTTTTAGCCGCAACTCCCAAAGCTCTGCAGCCGGTTCCAGGCTGGGCTTGACCTGTGGCCGTCCTGTTCGTCTCCGCCTCCCTTCGACGTCGAAGTCTCGCGAGAGAACCTTCTCAACTCGGAGATCGCCACAGTCCATCACTGCCTTGAAGGGGTGCTGGTCCACATATCCGCGGATGGTTGCGTGGTTGGAGAAAAGAAGCACGGCCCGACCGTCGGAATTGAGCACTTTGGGTAAGCCGTCGAAGAAGCGCCGGAAAAGGTCCGGGGAATAAAAATTGCCTAAGTCCAGAACAGTCCTGGGAGGCTCGTTTGCAGTAGGCTGGGGCAGCGGTAGCCAAGGTGGGTTAAACACAACCAGGTCAAACTTGCGATCCATGCCTGTGAAAAGATCCGAACACAGAACCTCGACATCATCAAGGCCCTGACGCTTCAGTTCTTCCCTTGCGCCATACACGGCATTGGGACTCACGTCAGTAGCAACCACATCTGGAATCCCAGCGATTCGTCGGAGCATCAAAGCCACCACGCCACAGCCTGTACCGACATCTAAAGCACTTTGTAAAGTGCGGCTATCGCTGGAGTTCCGTAGCCACTCGATCAGCATGTCGAAGTGTGTCACAGGATGGGGGTAGGCGTAAACGCCATAGAAGGGCCGCACTGGTCCAGTAAGCACCGGCGGCGCAAGGAAAGGGAATCGCACACCTCCTTCGAAATACTGCCAGGCATTGGCCAGCCCCATCAGCACGCCCGACGGCAACGCAAACTGGCGCCCGGTTGAAAAGAGATCACCGTACCTCGGCCGTGCCACATCTTTCTCAACGCCTTCAGTCCCAAGCCCGTACATGGCAGCACCTTCAACATGAAACCCTTAAGTTAACCTGCTCTGACTACAAATGCACAAATTGCTCTGGCTGCAATGTCCTCAAGAAGTCAGCACGGGGAGCACCTTGCAGAGCGATGCGCCCCTCAACCACCTGACCCAGCAGTCGATCCGATAGTTGCTTTTTCAGAGTGCGCTGTCTTTCCGCTTCCTTTGCGCTTGCAGCAGCTTTCTTGAGTGGCTTGAGGATAGCAGCCCGACATCTTTCCAAATCACGCCAGTGATCGACCACTAGCGCGTGACCTCCGTTTCGAATCCAACGCGCGACCTCCTCGAGGTTCGAGTCACGGTTTACTAGAAACACATCCTCTGATGCCATAAGCGTCTCAACATAAATTACCTCCGGGCGCACGAGCCCTGGCACGAAGGCAGGGGCTGCTGGAGCACATCTCCTTGCTTCCGCAGCAGCGTTCGGAGCTTCCCTCTTCGGCCATCTGGGCCCAGGCGCACGACTGCCGCGTGGGCCGCGTCGGGAGCCGATCCGCTTCGAGGGCCTCCGTTGCGGTGCCCGGGCCCGGACGGTGCCAGCTCCCAAGGAATGTTTTGGGTCCGGGGCGCCCGTGGCGCGGCCCACGAATCGCCAGCACGGGTCTGCGAGAAAGCCCAGCGGCCCCAGCGCTACACCAACTGCACACAGGCTCCATCGCCAGTCCGGACAGACCTGCATCCGAACGCACTGCAGTCTACAGCTCACCAGATCAGACTGCGGGATGCTGCAGGCGCATGTTGAGCAAATGCGAACACAGAGGGTACTCGGAGAAATCACCACAAGTATTTCGAATGGTCATAGTCGGGCACTGTTGCGAAGGCAGTTTGAAACTGCATCGGGCATCGGGTCTGAGCATGTTCAATATTGGAAGTGTTTTCTTTCACTTTGGCAGCCCAGGCTTAGTAGATTTTCGTACACATGAGAGTTTTACTCAGCAATGTGGTGCTGTCAGTCCATTCAGCTTGCAGTTGCAGAAGTAGTCTATTAAAGGCCATGGAAGACTTAAGATCCGAAACTCCACTCCCCCTCCCTAGCACCACTACTCGTAACTACAGTATTGCTGTTTGCATCAGCGCCTAGCACTTTTCGTTTGGATTTAAACGCGAGCCCGCCGCCGAGAATGTCCCACTGGAGAATGGCTATTCTTCGGTGTTTCATGGTGTTTCCAATACAAACGAGGAAGGGATGACTCTGAGCGCATGCCGATCTGTTGCGACGGCTAGGTCGCTAACATTGGGGCCGACGATGCCTGTGGTAACGACCTGCGCATTGGCTGAGAAGCTTGTAGCGGGCAACATGCTTCGATGTAGTGTCTTGCTGAGCGGAGAGCTGGAAAGACAAACATTCGTGGCTGTCGGCTATAGCCAAACATGCTGATCTGCATTGCATTTTGTCCCGCGGACAGCTGTTCAAAGTCCCCAGATGTCGACGAGATGAAAGGAAGAAGATCAGCTTAAAAAGCCTTAAACGCAGCGTCACTTTGCAAACAGACAGGTAGAGTGAATTAAGAGACGCATGTCTGCGTCTGCGTTTGGAAAACATGTGCCATGGCTTCTTCACAAGGAGCTTCTTCGCTATCTCGAGCGGAGTCACCGTCAAGAGTCCTCGAGGCGCATATGCCAGTTCGCCGCTGAGTCCCGAAAAGCGTCCTCGACGCGCTGACGAGTCGGCAAAGCTCAGAGCCCAGCATCAACACCTTCTCCTTTCCGCATTGGTGGCATCGTGTAGCCGCAGCCGGGCCTTCGTGCTGCGTGCCGGGGGACGTGAGCTTGACGGCGGCCACTTTTCCTGTTGTCCTGGTCCTGGCAGCGCTGCGTTTCACGATCTGCTCCTCCAAGATTCCGTGAGGAAGGCCACGTGGTAGTTGCAGAGCAAAGGCTGCAGCTGCGCCTCATCTTGGGTCCACGTGGAGTCCGACGGTGCCATTGAAGGTCGGTACGAAGGAGATGCCCCCAGCGAGGTTGAAAGCCTGTGCAGGTGAACGAGGGAACTTCGAACCACACAGAGACACAGGCCAGGAAACGCATAAGCTGGACATGCTGGACCCGATCAGACTTGGGCAGCAAGGGACTCGTGGTGCTTCTCTCGGAACACTCGTAAGATTTAGGACGCCGAGGGCAGCAAGGAAAGCACAATTATGAGCTCATGAGCATCTTGCACTGCAACATCACAGATGATCTGCAGCTGGCCTGGCGATAGGACACGTATTGTGAGCCGTCGTAGTACTGCAGCTCCTCGATTGGTGCTGGCCCTCACTCCGTAAGGAAACCGTGCTTTGCGAAGGTCGTTCCGCATTCCAAGGGCCAAGGCCAGGGATGTGTATTCCCGAAAGCTTTGCGGAGGGTTTTTCCGTGCGGAGCCCTCGAGAAATACATGGGATAACTTACATAGATCAGTTATACATCGAGACTTATACATCGAGACTTTTAGATTACGTTGAGTTAAGTTAAGTAAGTTAGGTTAAGTTAAGTTA